GCCAATAGTGAACAAAATAATCAATTGAAAACAATAAAATAATCCATATACAAAAAACTATAGGTTAACCCGCATTACAACATATAAATAGTAATATTAGTACATTAATTATTTTAAATATTTCTTTATTTACGCTCACAATAGTTTGTTTTAATTCTTATATAAATCCCATGTCAATTTTAAACAATAACAAGATATATTGATTGTTATTAATAATTATTTACATATAAATATATTAATTATAGCACAACTAACATGTATAAAGTGCTATGTTTAGGCGTTTTATTGGGATTAGTTATAAATTTTAAGCTTGATGATGATCACTACGACCCAGTGCCAATAAAGGTAAATTACGATATTTAAATAATGTGAATTAAATTTATCGTACAAATAATGATGGTAATAAAAACACCAGGAACGAAAAATTGACTACACTATACACCCAATACTGGCCAGTCGTACCTCGCAGACAGAAATGACTGGTGCGGCCATATCTGACTCAGACTTAATGGCAATTTTTGAAGCGGCCCGTTGGGCACCTTCGGCCTACAACATACAACCATGGCGATTTATTTATGCCAAACACGGCACAGCACGGTTCACCGACTTTCTCACCACGTTGGAATCGTACAATCAGGTGTGGGCCAAAAACGCATCGGTCATTATCTATCAGATAGGTGCTAATTGGCAAATGGAGAAGGGTGATGTACAACAGGTGACCTACAATACTTTTGACTCAGGTAGTTCCTTCATGTCCCTCTCGCTGGAAGCCAATGGTAGAGGCTATGTATCGCACGCTATGGCCGGTCTAAACTACGACAAGGCCTACAAGACTCTCGGTGTGACCAAAACTAGTCATACTATACACTTGGCCATAGCGTTGGGCGTACCGCCGGTCACCCGAGCGGCTCCGGAGGTTATTACAGGTCGTAATCCTATTGAAAAGTTTGTGTTTAATGAAAAATTTGTTAATACTGACCCGGATGGGCCACTCACACCTACCCAAAGTGCAAAATAACACTGTTATATGTAATATTTGATTAATTTTTTTAACTTGTCAAACTAATTTATTATTTCAAAACATATGTTTTATTCATTAAAAAAATTTCAATTTATTACATGAGTTATAATTCCATTATAAAATAAAGTTGAATAAAAATATTGTAAAAAATGTTAAAAAATTTTACTTGTAATTACAATGAAACTTTTGGCATTATTGAGATTATTGTGATAACAAAATGTTTAATTATTTAATAATATTTAATTTGCAATGAATATCAATAATATATAGATGGATATAAAATATAAAATTGTATTTATAAAGGAATATTTATAACTTTATGACTTTGGATAAATGCAAGTTTTGAGCAAACAATATTTTAATGCAAAACCTAAGGACTAACCCAGGTCACATCATTTATATTAGATATTGAAACAGAATCACTAGATTGACTACAACTATATAACTAAAACTATTAACTACTTTTACACGTTGTAAATAATTAATATTATATAAGTAAATAACTATAGTAAAATAAACAAGGCACTATATTTTAGACATCTGCACTGAAAATCAACACTAGTTGAGTGCACGGCATCTGTAAATAACAATAAATCAATTCAATTGAATATATGGCACAATATTATCATATTGAGGTAACATTTGACAATTAAATTGCTATTTATAGTAAGATTATGTGTCTAAATATAAACATTATGTGAGATCTGTAAGACTATCGGTACGATAACCATCTCTTGTGCGTTCATATCTCACTTCAATGTATTAGGCAATGATATCTCAACGCTTTTGAAGTACTGGCCGAGTATTGACAGCCGGGCGCATAGCACTTGTAAATAGTCGCCTCAACTGTATCGGGCGCTGGACTTTTGCTCGTTTTGGGTGGCACTGGTTCCTGGCTAGTGGTGGCAACGGTGGCGGACGTGTGCGTCGATTTAACATGCTTGGTCAAACTGGACAAATGTCTATACCAGATCGTATAAGTGAGCAGAAAAAGAGCAAACCATTTATTCCCATATAACCGGATAATACCG